TTCTTATAGCTAAAAGATACAAATTACATGCTTCATTAATTATTGCACAGGCTAAGCCACTGTAAAAGAAACACCCTAAAATCTAGTGGCTTAAATTTATGACATAACGTGGCTTAAATCTAATACAGTGGCTCCACGTCAAAAAACAGCTTCCATTTCTGGGTCTGAGGCTCTTTTGTCATTTTCTGCTAGCAAAGGGGGAGGAAAAAATGGCCAAGGGAAGCCCAATTCCAATCCTTTAATTGGCAAGACCCAGAAATGTCACAGTTTACTTCTGTTCACATCCCAGTGGACACTCCTTGAATGCATGGCTATAGCTAACTGTAAGTGAAGCTGGAATTACAGTCTTTGTTATTGAGTGGAACAACTGGTGCTTTCCCATAATTGCCAACAAAAACTGGTGAATTGTACCCTTTTTTGATATATCACAGTAATGGGAAAATATCTCACTCCAGCGATTACAGTGCAAGTTTTGTATTTTATTTTTGAAACATTTGGCTAGTTCAGTACAAATCTGTATAGCATGTTTGCATATGTTCCTATCTGCTAACCTTTGAAACTTTCTTTACTTGATACCCTACTATACAAATAAAAGGAGAAATAGTTATTCCAGTCAAGAACTTGGAATCACAGATGGAATATACTGATGCAATGAGAATGCATATAATGGAATAAATATCACATGATTATGCTCTATAACTTTTCAATATTGATCCAAGTACAAGATTTTCTTTCTAGGAACAGTTCGCAACTGTTAAAAATGATCAATTCTTAGAAATTCTTCTTCTCTGTTTACCTTTCACACATCCATGGCATTATTTAAATATCACTTGGAATTCCATTTTCTGGCTTATGACGCTCTTTGAATGTCCTAGTCCAGCAATGTCCAGTAGAACTTTCTGTGAACCCAGAAATGTTCTAGAACTGCACTGTCCAATATGGCAGCTACTGGAGCTTTTGAGTGCTGGTAATGTGAGTAGTGTGACTAGGGAACTGAATTTTAAACTTTATTTCATTTTAAAGAAATTAAATTTAAATAAACCCATGGGCCAGTAGTCACCGTATTAGACAGCACAGTCATTCATTCTCTGCTCCATTTACAAACCTATTTCTGCCACATTTATTTTGCTGCATAATATTGCTCCTGAAATGTCCTCAAATGAATTTAACTACTCAACATCTATTATTTGGTGTTTTATTCTTTGGGTGAGAGATTCTATATTTTCAATGTGACTTTACTCTAGCTTTAGTGTAATAATAACAATATCAAATGTACTGTATATAAAACGTGTCAGGCACTGTTCTGAGCACTTTATGCATAATATATAATTTCATTATCACAAGAAACCTGCATATAATTGTCACCATTTTATAGTGGTATGAACTGACCCAACCATAGGTTAATTAATTTTTGCCTTTAGCTAGTTAAGTGGCTGATTTAGGATATGAATTGCAGGCAAACTAGTTTTAAATCCCAGGCTCTCCCTCCATTCTTTACTCTTCCATCATTTTGTAGGGTGAAGTCTCCCTTCAGTAGTTCTCGTTAGGCAAAAATACATCACATTTGGGGTCCAAGAGCCTTATTTGTGTATGTGTAATATTGGAAACTATTGTCCCCAGCAGGAGATAAGAGAAAAGAACAGTTTCTCTTCTTTTCTGTTCTATCACAAGTCATTGAACAGACTGTTTATGAAAAGATGATCCAAAAGGTTCCCTAAGTTATCTTCACTAATTTGGCACTGCGATCTTATTTTATTGGAATGATACAAAAAAAATAAGTTAATATAAGTGATAATGAACAGGTGCTGTATGTTTGCTTCTATTACTACTAAAGATGATTCAGATTTCTTTCCTAGTACACTAACAGAAAGAATTTTAAAGTAGTCAGGATCGATTATTTTCAAAGGGCTGTAGTGTTCAAATTTAACTCAGGTCAATCATCTGCAAGTTAAAATTACTTAGAAACGTACTGTCCATAATTAAGTAATCTTACCTACTAATATTACAGAATCAGGATACCTTTAGGTGACATGAAATCTGTCATTTAAGTATACCCCCAAGCCTTTTCCAGATTGCTCATAAGATTTCTCATTCTCTAGAGAAATGCGATCTCTAAGAAATAAATGTCTCTGTCAAGTCACAAGTAATATGAACACATGATGAAAAAATGGAATTTTTTTAGCCTCATAAGGGATATTGCAGTATTGTAAAATTGATTTTATTCCTTGTTATGTAAGTTCTCATGGTCATTTTAGGATTTACCTTCTGGATATAAAGGGAAGGTTAATGATGCCTTTTAGGGAGGTGGGGTACAGAGGCCTTTGGGGACCAGGAGAATATTTTTCATATGAAATCTTTTGTCATAAAATGCTAATGTTGGTGTTCTTGTCTTTATGTCTATGCATTCTTTAGCTATGAGGATAACAGACCCTTCATCAAGTAAGAATGACCTGAATGGCTGATAAATTCCATTTATCAGTGTGGTCCCATGAACCAGCTGTCAGATCAGTACTGAAAAATCATTAGAACTTCTGTCATTCACTTTGAGGCAGAAGAGCAAACTGTGCAGGAAAATACTCAGGCATACAACTTGTATGCAGGATAAATATGCTGCAGGTGTATTGCCAAAAACAAATTCTGCTTCACCTCTTTTAATTGGATATCACCTGAAATCAGTGCCACAGTCGTAGCAACTTCATGTGGTACAGACTTGTTTCGCTTTTAATAGCTTTCTCCTTTCATTGTGATGTGTTCCTCTGTGCTGCATATGTCGTCATTTCTGTTGTTTGTTTGGACATCGCTCATCTAAAATTATTTTGTGGTTTAGCCGTGTATCTTCAAAATGATCTTAGAAGTACAAAGCTACCCAATTGCAATGGATATTAATGAATTTCTATTTTAAATATCCAAAAAGGGAAAAATACCTCCTTCAAAAATTCAAATTTTTGGACACAAAATTACCTCTTTCAATTTTGACACATATCACCTGTTTATGAGTCTATCTTTTAAATTTCTAAAACAAAGCTACAAGTCTGTACTAATCTCATAAGAATAAACTCAAATGTTGATATTTGGGCTCTTTTCTTTTGTACATTTTAAAATTTTGTGTCCTGCCACAATATACTTAAGATTGGGGCAACCTAATGGGTGACCTTACTATAGACTTTCAGTTTGTTCTTCTGGTGAAGAGTCCTTTGTTTTCACTTTCTCCAGTGACATTTCACTTATTTCTTCATGCTCTTGCTTATTTTATTTTCTTTACAAATTGGGCTCATTGTAGTTCTATATCATTAACTCTTGGGCCCATCATGTGTTTTCTAGTAGATACTAGCTGTCTTGAGTATTTTATTGTATCATTTTATTTCTAAATTGAAATAGCAATTTTGCCTTGATTTAATGGTATTCTTTCCATTTTTCCTTTTTCCAACGCCTGTAAGAAGCTGAGAGCTTTACCTTGAGAGTTCCCATATTTTTCAATTTAATTATAAACTAAAATATTAATATCTAAGATGTTTTCTGATTCATATAAGTAAACATGTCACATACAATGGCAAGCCTACTTTAGGGATTCTTATTCAATAATGTTAATGTTTTAAATTGAACATGTTAAATTTAGGGGATATTTCCATATGAAATGTAGTAGCTGATGGTTGTAGAAGAAAAATAGTAAATAGTCATGATTAATTTTAACAAGACATTAATACTAATTGACTACTTTGGGACCATATCTTTCTTAAGACGTAGTTCTCTCTGAAAACTTTAGTCAACCCAGCTTCAGATTTGGTAAATACGTGTGGTTTTTTTTTTAACCGCTTCATTTTGCAAAGTTTCAATCCCCATAAATATCGCTTCCTTAGACAATGCAAGTGGAAGAGTATAGTCGGCTGAAAAGAAATATTTACTCTGTTCAAGGAAGGTGTGCTGGGAAAGAAGAGGGTGGGTTCATGAGTATATAGAGATCTAGGCTGGTTTGGTCCTATTCTCCTATATACTTTGAGAGGAGTTGAGAAGGATTCCATTTTCACTTACTGGATTCCCATTTATTGGAAAAATTCATTTTATGTTGATAGCAAATACATAACACACGGCCACAAATATATGGACTTCTGTCACCCACTGATATATTATTACTATTGTGAATGGCAGCTGGAAGAAACTAAGGGAATGGAGTGAGAGTGAGAATTGTCTTCCATTCTAGCCTACTTTGTTCATACCACTCCATCCCATTCTCAGCTTCATTTTCTCCTTCGAGTTTACAGACCCTTCAAAGAGATGAAGGTACCCTGAGCTCTTAAACTTCTTTTCAACAAAGCTGCCAGTTGCCTGATTTTCAAAGTCTCATCCCACTTAACCTAGAAGACAGCAATCCAAAGGCTGAAACAATGAGGATTATGATACAGAGTGGAACAATTTTTCCCACCCACTGTGTCGCACGTGTTTTACATAACTGTAGAATTAGACAAATAGAACTTTTAAAATTCATACATATATTCCATATACTGTTTCCTTCTAATACAAGCTCTGCTTTTGTCAGTAAACACTAAAATTTTTATGGAAAAAGAGGAAATTTGGAAAAATGGGGCAAAAGTGTATCAGGTGAAGCACTAATGGAGAGAGTCCAATCAAACATATTATCATAACAATGAGGCCAGTGAAAACTAACATAGCTGTATAGACATTTTCCCCCTTGCCATTCACCATAATTACATCTCCATATCATTTGCATATGTGCTGCAAATACATGAATAATTTAATAGTACAAATCTGCTTTTGCTTAAATGAATTTCTGTGTTCATAACATTCTCATTCATGTATATCTCCTCAAGTTTGAAAACTTGTAGTCCCCATTAAAATCTTAAAGTACTTATACCACCTGTCTTACATTTTCTGTCAATAAAACTTACCGTAACATTTTTTTCAGTGTCAGTATTGTTGATATATGACTGTGGTAATTAAAGACCAATCATTTGATAACCCTTAATTTTCTTTTCTCTCTACAGGTCATGGGTAATAGGTGCAATAGCTCTTCTCTGCCTATTAGGATTGACCTGGGCCTTCGGACTCATGTATATTAATGAAAGCACAGTCATCATGGCGTATCTCTTCACCATATTCAATTCTCTACAGGGAATGTTTATATTCATTTTCCATTGTGTCCTACAAAAGAAGGTAAGCAAAAATTCTCTATTTAAGAATAAATGGCATATATCATCTCATGTTAACAAAGCAACCATAACATAAGTCATTCTTGATGTTTTGGTCTCTGAAATAAATGTGTTACTTCATTAATTTTATTTTTTAATAGTAAGGCAAAAGACACAAAACAGAAGCATAATAGTTGGTGAATATGTTTAATAGCAAAAAAAAAAAAACCAATCAAAATATTTTCTAATTTGTATGGTGAACAAAAATTATACTCTTGTAGGCTTGACCTTTATAGTCTTTAATATTTTTATTGGCAGACATATGGAATTTGTGTATTAGAAATAGCTTTTCTAAGATGTTATGGAGCTGTAGGATGGAGATATATATATATATATATGCCATATATATGGCATAGGAAATATATATTTTTCTGTTTTTCTTTAAAAACAAGTTTGTATATACTGGAAAATATGAATGTTTATCATTATGAGAACATTTGTGTTTTTTAAATGAACAACAAAGTACTTAGTAATGATCTTTGTACTTCTTTTCTTTAAAAGCATCCTTTATAAAATCTGTGAGTTGGATAATTAGAATGCAATATTTAATTTTTCATGCTGCTCTATTTTTGTGATTTTTTTACATTTACAAGGACCTGAAATATTCATTTTCAAAGTTAAATTTAGCTACTAAATACTTCCATTGCATTTTTTTTAGAAATCTCAAGATTGATTTTCTCATCTTAAACATTTTAATTCTATTAAAAATGTGATCATTATGGTTCCAATCACATAGACCCCTGAGCCAAGAAAGTCTGGGTCTAAATCCTAGTTTCTCTACTTAACAGCACATGTGACTTTGGGCAAGTTAATTAACCTGCTCATGCCCCAGTTTCTTCATGTGTAACGTGGAGGTAATAAAAATAATTATGAGATCTTGAGAGGTGGGCTCTGAAAATGAAATGTCAAAATGTGAAAATTTCTTCTAAGAAAGTAACAATACCTGAAATTTTTCTTTGGAAAACAAAGCAAAACATAGAAAGAGTGAAGATATCTATGTCTGTGATTTTTGGTTTGAGAGATTGATGGGACCTAAATCAAAACTTGAGATGGTGTCTACTTGTCAAGATGAGTCTGGTTGTATTCTGTTTCAGTTGTGTGTGGTGGTACATATGAAAAGTGTATTAACATAGTCATAAATAAGGCTAGAATAGTAATGATGACTCAGACCTATAAATGTAGTTTACAGAAAAGTAAAAAAGAGTATAAGGAAATGGGTGGATTTTGATCTATTGGATTAGAATTAATTTAGAAAAGAGATTATATTACAATAGATGAACCTTCCCAAATATTTAGTGCACATCCTAAAATTGCAGTTGCAAAAATATTTATTTATTTATTTTTTACTGATGGCCCAAATGGTGGTGGCACCTCATGGAGGGACACAGGCTGATGAAGTCTCAATCAGCCTGGGTATATGATTTCCACAGATGCCTTGAGCATTGACCTTAAGCAAGCAGTCTGAGAAAGAGAGGGTCTTGTGTAAATGGTCTGAAAGAGGCTTACATCACTTCTACTCACCTTCCGTCAGATAAGATACCATCGATGGTACTACCTAAACTGTAAGGAAGACTAGAAAACATAGTGTAGCTTTTTTTTTTTTTTAATCTCAGGAAGATGAGATAAAACAGCAGTCTACCACACTTGAGGAATGTAAAGAGTAGGACTTGTGAATAATGACTAGGATTAGATACGGAAAAAAGAAGTGTCCAAGGAGCAGAATCAGCATCAAGATGACATACTGAATTAAAGATAGGAGAAAATGTCCAGAAGTAGACAGCAGCCAGCCAGCCAGTATTTAAAAATATTTCAGAAAAGTCAGGGAGACTAAGCACTTGGGAGAATTTTCTAGATATTGATAGAGGAAAGACATAGCTGATTGTCACAAGAAATATATGTAAAAAGATGGGACCAAATTGTAGATTAAGGAAAAACGTAGCATTTGTAAGCAAATATTGGATTATCATAAGCAGTTTTAACATCTTCAAATAGAGTGAACCAGATTTACCTATTATCTTTATTTTATTCATTAGCTACAAATTGAGACTAACAAAATTTTAAATTTTAATGTTATATAGAAATTTTCTTTAAACCAGAAAACATTTTTTTTACTTTATGCATTAATTATTTTGATTTTGAGTATTTTTATTAGCCAATATCTTTTAGGATTTTCTCAATGATTATTTTTATCATAAAAATATATATCACTGGTATAAGTAGGAATTGCATTTGATATACAGGAAAGGATATTAAATATTAGAATCCTAAAGCAAGTCTAGAGTTTTTAGTATATTTAACATAAATGAAATTTTAAAAAAATATGTCATCAAGGTCAATTTTGTGATTCATTAGAACAAATTTCAGCAAACAATAGCTCATGGGTCAAATATGCCCAGCTGCTTTTAATTTTTTACAATCACCCGAGAATGGCTTTTATATTTTAAGTGGTTACATTTAAAACTTTAAGTTAAGTACAGAAACAGCATCCTTTTCGGTGCCTTTTTGTTGACAAAGCCTGAATATTGACTATTTGGCCCTTCATGAAAAAAATTATCAACCCCTATTTAGAAGCTTTCTCTTATCATTTATAATAATACGTAACAATCACATTATTCTTTCATCCATTTTATATTTTGAATTTTCCAATTTGGGTGGCATTTTTATTTACTATCAAGAACATGGCCCAACATCAGAGAATTGTGGAATTGTTTACCTTTTCCCCTACAAAACAAACAAAACAGGGAAGCCCTGGTGGCGCAGCGGTTTAGTGCCGCCTGCAGCCCAGGGCGTGATCCTGGAGTCCTGGGATCGAGTCCCATATCGGGCTCCCTGCATGGAGCCTTCTTCTCCCTCTGCCTGTGTCTCTGCCTCTCTCTCTCTAGCTGTGTCTCTATGAATAAATAAATTAAAAAAAAAAAAACTTTAAAACAAACAGAACAGATAATTTTGTTTTAAATTGCAGAAATGTCTTAGGAGATTTTTCTTTTATCCTTTTACTTAAATTGAAATATCAATGAGATATAATATTGTGTAAGTTTAAGGCACATAGTGTGTTATTTTTATACACATTTATTATAAAATGAGTACCACCCTAGTGTTAGCTAATGTTTCCATCAACTCACATGATTACCATTTCTTTTTTTCTGGTGAAAACATTTAAGATCTTTCTTAGCAACTTTCAAGTTTATAATACAGATTTGTTTACCATAATAATTATCATCCTCTACATTAGTTCTCCAGAACTGATTCTTCTATTAGCTGGAAGTTTGTATCCTTTAACCAACATCTTCCATTTCCTCCACCCCAACCTTGGATGACTACCATTCTATTCTGTTTCTTTGCACATATGGGTATCATACAGTATTTGTCCTTCCCTATGTGACTTATTCCACCAAGCATAAATGCCCTCAGGATCTATCCATTGTGTCACAAATGGCAGGATTTCCTCTTTTCGTGGCTGAACAATATTCCATTGTTGGATGTACCACATCTTCTTTATCTATTCACCAATTGGTGGACACGTGGGTTTTTTCCATGCCTTGGCTATTGTGAATAATGCTGCAATCAATATGCGAATGCAGATACCTCTTTGGGATTCTGATTTCATTTCCCAGGAATATATACCCAGAAGTGAGATTGCTGCATCATATGGTAGTTCTGTTCCTGTTTTTTTTTTTTTTTGAGGAAACGCCATACTATTTCCCATAATAACTGTACTACTTTATATTCCCACCAACAGTGCATAGGGGCTCTCTTCTCTCCACATCCTCACCAACACTTATTATCTCTTGTTTTCTTTTTCTTTTTTCCTCTGGTCTTCTTGATGATAGACATTCTAACAGATGTGAGGTGTTATCTTTTTGTGGTTCTGCTGGGCATTTCCCTGATCCCTGAAGTTGAACATCTTTTTATGTTGGTCTTTTTTATGTTTTTTTAAGAAGAATGTCTACTGGGATGCCTGGGTGGCTCAGCGGTTGAGCGTCTACCTTCAGCCCAGGGTGTGATCCTGGAGTCCTGGGATCGAGTCCCATGTTGGGCTCCCTGCATGGTACCTCTGCCTGTGTCTCTGCCTTTCTGTCTCTGTGTTTCTCATGAATAAATAAATAAAATCTTAAAAAAAGAAGAATATCTATTAATTTGCTCTGTCCATTTTTAATTGGATTCTTGTTTTTCTGCTATTGAGTTATATGAATTCTTTATATATTTTGGATGTGAACCCCTTACAAAAATATAATTTGCAAATTTAATTCTGTAGATTGCTCTTTCATTTTGTTGATTATTTATTTTGCTCTGCAGAAGCTTTTTAGTTTGACATAGTCCCACTTACTAATTTTTGCTTCTGTTGCTTTTGTTTGTGATGTCATGTCCAAAAACTCATTGCCAAGACCAGTGTCCAGGAAATTTTCCCCTGTATTTCATTTTAGCTAAATTTTTTGAGTAGTGTAAGATGGGATCCAATTTCATTCTTCTGCACATAGTTATATCTAGTTTTTTTGTATAATATTTTATAGTATAATAGTTTTTAGATTATATAGATTATTTATACTTTAATAGTATTAAAGTATAATAGTTTTTAAACTATTTATTGGAGAGATTGTCCTTTTCCTATCAAGTATTCTTGGCTCCCTTGTGAAATGTTAGTTGACAGTAAATGCCTGCATTTATTTCTGGCCTAATTCTGTTCTCTTCATCTGTGTGTCCATTTTTATACCACCACTATGCTGTTTTGATTATTACATCTTTGTAATATAGTTTTAAAGCAAGAAGTATGATGTCCCTAGCTCTGTTTGTTTTGTTTTTTGTTTTTTTGTTTTTTTTTTTCAGGATTACTTTGGCTATTGTGGAGGGGTGGGGGTGGGAGAGTGGTTCTGTACAAATCTTAGGATTTTTTTTCCCATATCTGTGAAAAATTCCATTGGAATTTTGAGGGACTGAATTGAATCTATAGATGGCTTTGGGTAATATGCACATTTTAACAATATTAAGTCTCTTAAGAAGTTTCTCTTAAGCCATCTGATTGAATTTCAGTAATGTGTCCATGCTGATGTAGTTGCTCAAATGTTTTGATTAAAGAAATATGAAATATTACATTATTGAGATATTTTGCCTAAATAAGGGTTATCTGTTGATTGATTCAACTCCTTAACAAAAATCAAACTTTGAGTTATCAGTCCTATTCAAAGTTGCATGATAGGACTCATACCAGTATTTCTACTGGTGATGTTAAAGTTATCACTTTTTCTTTTGTTATGCACTTGATTATAAACCCCAGAGGGTATTGTAATTATTTTATTTCTGATCTGAGAGTATAAAAGAAATATTCCATTGGTAAAGTGTACTTCTTTTCCCATCATCTATATTCTGGAACAATGTTAAAATAATAAGGTATCATATCTGATAGTGGTAAGATGAAGTATCATGTGAAATAGTGGATTAGACTATGCCAGTGATTGAAAAAATAAATAACTTTTATTGTAACCTAAAGAAAAATATTTCATAGACGTAGTCCCTTTTATTTAGCTTTTTTTTCTTTTTAAAATACATGCTTAGTGCTTCAAAATTAAACAGAAATAGAAACATAAAGTCCGTAAAGATTCAGTAAGTAATATACCTAAACGTGGAACTTAGCATCACTAGATATCTTGGATTGCCAGTTGTTTATATACCCAGTTCAAAATATTTAGTCTTTGTTGGAAAATATAAATAGTCCTTGATGAATTCCTGTGGCTTATATAATACTGCTGCCTTTGTAATGGGTATGGGAGTGGCTCTTTCTCTTTCTTTCTCTCTCCCTCCCTCCTAAAATATTTGTTTAGGTTTAAATTGCTTAATTAAAAACCACTTTCTTTTCTAAAAAGAAAAATATACTTGTTGAGTACACTAAGAAGAACAAAGTGGGAGGACATAGGTTCTGATCAAAGTTTAGGTTTTTGGAGATACTTCATTAATTCAAGACTAAAATGAAACTGCAATTGATAGTGCTTACCTTTGGGTAGAGATTATTTTAAGCTTTCTCAAATTCTAATTAAAGCATTTGTTCTTATTTTTTCCAGATACAGAGAAAGGGATAATTTAATAGATTACTTTAATAATAATATTTACATATTAATGTTAGAAGTGTGGCCTCTTAGAAGGAGCTTTCTGATCATAGAGTACCTGTGAGAGGTGGATTTTTTCACATAAGGCAGAGAAAGTCCTCAAAGGTTGCCCACACTCTTCACAAATACCTAGGTTGCCTTTGTGCATCTTAACTGTCCTTTCTTTCAACAACGTTCTCTAACCTGACAGATTCCAACCTATCTTTTGAATATTCTTTCAGAAACCCTCTTCTCTGAGAAGCCTTCCTGGGTCCCCCTACCTAGTGGCAGCAAGCCCTCCTTCCTCCATGCTTTGATTCACCTGTATTTATATTGTTGTTCCTATCACCAAATAAACATTTAATAAATGTGAACTCTTCAAACAAACATGAACGTATTCTATCTTTGATTCTGCTACATCTCTGATAGAAAGAACTTTCTTTTTTTTTTTTAAAGATTTTATTTATTTATTCATAGAGACAGAGAGGCAGAGACACAGGCAGAAGGAGAAGCAGGCATCATCCAGAGTGCCTGACCTGGGTCTCGATCCAGGGTCTCCAGGATCACGCCCTGGGCTGCAGGCGGCGCTAAGCTGCTGCGCCACCGGGGCTGCCCAGAAAGAACTTTCTAATATTAAGATATAATCACTTAGTTTTGAATGCTAGTATTTATATATCATTGACACTCTTATTTCTTTGCTTTTGATTCTAAATAATGCCCCTCAAAAAAGCATATACTTCTAACTTAGCTTTAAATACAATTACATTGGGATATTACACTGTCACAGATTGTGGAAAGAATGAACTCATGTGAATTCAATATGTAAAAAGCTAAGAATAACTATGAAATACTGTGTTATTTCATAATCATAAATTTGGAATGTAAAACCAATAAATGTCCCAGAATGTGTTTTTAATTGATGAAGACAGAACTGGGGATTATTTTTGTTGTTGTGGATAGCAGAAGTATGATTTAGGGCATTTCCTGTTTATTTTTGTACCTCTTGTTTGATTAAAGAGGCAGTAATAAACATTCTAAACGGGATAAAAGTTTTCCCAGGAATTGTTGATGTGTTTTCCTGATTGAAAACATCAACTAAAAAATGTTTATCTCCTTTTTTCCCTGTGATCTTATTTACAAGCAAGATAAGAATTTAATAAAGGAAAGCAATCTGTGATTATTGAATAGAACTAATTTGAGAGAATAAAAATATTTTGAATTTTATCTTCTGAAGTTACTAATTTGACCTCTTTTAAGAGAAATAAACTTAAAGAAATATAAATTTAAAAGACATTCTTAGCCCAACACATCCCTTTTTTCTGTGTTTAAACATTCTTTTTCTTTCTCTTCCTGTCTCTCCCTTCTCCATCCCCTCATTTCTCTGTAGCTTTCTCACTAGACCTCTGTTCAAAGAACAATTGTACCAATAGGCTACTTCAAATCAAATTTATGAGACTAAACACAGGGTCTCAAGTTTTTATTTTTTGAACTACGAGGTAGTAGCATTTTTGCAGATTAGACATGTGTGTGTGTGCGCGTGTGCATATTTTAAAAGGCTCCAGTTATGCAAAATTTCAAGCTTGGTGGCTTGAATATCATTTTATATTGTAAAATATACGCTGAGCAGACTTTCTTGGATCTGTAGGGCAAGGAAATAATTATATTAATTATCTAAAAATGAAACTCATGTACGTTTTATACCATAGTTCTCAGCTGAAATGAATTATGTTCTAACAGAAGTTAATATTTAATTGGCTAGGTACGAAAAGAGTATGGGAAATGCCTGCGAACGCATTGTTGTAGTGGCAAAAGTACAGAGAGTTCCATTGGCTCAGGGAAAACATCTGGTTCTCGAACTCCTGGACGCTACTCCACAGGCTCACAGGTAAATAGTTTTTCATTAAAATGAAATATCTCTTACCTATATTCAGTCGTGAGTTGTTGTCCTTTCTTGATCAGAACTATTTTCTATCCCAAGCATTTAAAACATCAAATTTGTTGTTGTTGTTTTATTGTTTCAGTGTCTTAAACAGGAATGACAAAAATTTCAAAAACCACATTGCAATAAAATTATGAAACTTAGGGTCTCAGTTTGCATAGTAATTAATGATTTCAAATTTTCCCTAGTTGAATGGACATAGAAGATGAAGAAAGGGAGTTGGTACTTTACCCACCAATTCTAAGAGAATATTTTATATATATGATTCTTAAGGGAATTTTCTCTTTTAACCAGTGTAGTAACTCTCTTATTGCATACTGAAAACATGTACTTATTAAATGGTATGTTTAGTGAAACAGTCCTTACTCATTATATGCTGATAAGTTGAAGACAATTCAGGGCAGTGAGGGACACCATAGTAGCATCATTGGCTGCCTCCCACTATCCAACACTTGATGTATCTGCAACATCGACTGTCACTTGGGAAGCTGTAAACTTTCAAGCAACTTTCAAATAACCTCCCATTTTTCCCAACCCATAGTGTTAGCGCAAAGATTATTAGGTAGAAATTTCAGCAACTTGAGGGTGCTGAAATGAGCCAGTCAAATAAAAGACAGGGTTATGCGGGCTATGAGTGAGTCTGAGTTCAAACTACCCAACTAAAATTTTGAAGAGTTCCTGATCCAAGGGGAAAAACAATCATATTATCACTGTTGTCAATTGATTTCTAAAGAACACTTAACTTCAAATTGATAAAGGTGTGAATCAGAAACTTAGTTTTTCTTAACCCTTTTAGTTCGATTTATAAATCTTAATTTTTTGTAAGTTCAGTAATTTTGTATAAAATAAGAAAGATTACTTGAGATGTTCTTTGTTCAATGCTTGTGTTGTAAACCTAATAGATTAAATGTTCCATTTAAGAACAAGAATTCCATTTATATGCCTAGAAAATTAAATATCCCTGACTTTAAATCATTTACAAATTTAACATACCATTCTCTCAAACACATTCACTTCAGACTGGACAGTCACATGCCTGTAACTAGCACTTGAACGACTCATAAATGAAATATAATGAACATGTTCTCATAAAGAAACACTCTCCTTAAACTGATGGAGTTCCCTTTGATCTTATGAGTGAAACCACATCTAATCTTTTCATCTAACATTTCCAACTAAAAATTTAAAACTAATGTGTAACTGTCAAACTTTCCAACTATTAACACTTAAATTAGCAACCACAAATTATCATAATAGACATGAAACTTATACCTACATATAATAAACAATTATTAATAGTTTGAATTGTACTTATTATTTCTTTAACTTACTGATGTTACAAAAAAAAGTTGCATATTAGCTGTTTCAGTTTTGGTGGGCTGAGATATCTAAGTGTAGGACTACTAAATTGGCCAATTAGAAATCTGAAGTATCATATAACTGTAGGGTACACCTGGATGATGCTTCTGACATGAGGCTCTTAGATTCCACACGTTTATTTTCAAACTGATAATCTTTACCTCCCTTTTTGTAATAATCTTTTCCACAACTTCTAAATTGAAATTGCTAAGATCGTGTATGTCATTATTCCTACATGCTTTTCATATAGCCAAGCTCATCAGCCACCATCCCGTAGTCATTTGTCATATGCCATTAATGAAACAATCCTATTTGGGAATTTATGTATTATTTTACAAAAACATTGCATAATGTTTAGCAGTAATTCTAAGCTAAAAGAGCAATGCAGGTTAATAGAATAATCATAAGCTTGCTGTGTGGATAGCCCTTGGTTTGAATTCTAGCCTTGGCATGTTCCAGCCATGACACAAAACAAGTTACCTAATATTATTGACACTCAGATTTTTCATCCGTAAAATAGTGGTAATAATATTTATTTCTTATGTTGTTAGGAAGTTTGAAATAATATATTCAAAACACTGAAAACAAATTGTAAGTACTTGAGAAATTGGAGCAGCCATCACTTAATAGTGTCATTATTACAGAATATAATTTTAGATATAAATTTTTAAACTCTATCATATTTTTTCTTCAGTGTTATAGTTCTCATATCACAATTCTAGTCTTACAAAAAAAACCCTACATTGTTTTCTTACACTTAATATAATACTAATTCTGATCAACTATGACAGTCCAACGCTACATAAAGTAATAGTTACTTAAATCCAGTCTGTTTAGTAAAAATAATGTGTTTCATATTAAGTATGACCTTCCATAGTCTAAAATACTGATATTAAGATAAAATTTTGGAACTATGGATGTCTTTTCCATAACAGAGTACTTGTAAAACAACAATCACTGTATTTTTTATTTTTTTACTAAGAAATTTTGAATATCCCCTATATAACGGCAGACTTCTAAGCTATGGAGGTACACTGATTAAAAGACAACTTCCCCTGTGATCTAGAGCTTTCATCTTAGTTGTGGAAGACAGAAATTTTATTTACAAACCAACAGAAAATACCAAAGTATGAAAGCTGGTAGAGATCGAAATGTAGTGATTTGATACAGAAAGCCCAGGTGGCTACTTGGATTAAGTGCTGGAGAAAGATTGTTTTGGAAGATGACACCAAGATATTATATTGACACCAAGATTCTGAATGACAGGAAGGAATTCAGGGGAAGAGTTCCAGGTGAGAGAACTCTAATGCAAAGCCCTTAAGTTGGGGAGGACTTACAAACTCAGGAATGGAAAGAATGTCATTGGCTAAATGGAAGAAAGTGAATGGGTGAGGAAGACAAAGGAGAAGGCTAGAGATGGATCAATAATAGTTTGTAAGTGTATGCAAATTTAGATTTTATTTCAATTACTTTAGAAAGCCTATGAGATGATTTAGAAAAGGAAGTGGCCAGGGAGATCATCCATATATAATACAGATCATGTGGCTTCCATGTAGAAAATGGAGGAGTGTGATTGGCAAGAATAAAAAGAAAATCCTCTCCACCTGTTGCTCCCCCATACCTACTTCCTGGTGCAAATAATCACTTATAAAAGCTTGGTAACAACCATAATCACACAAACAGATATTCACAGACATATATATATATATATATATATATATATATATATATATATATATATATATAGGATTGGTTTGTGTTTATGTGTGTTTATAAAAACTATGGATTAAAATATTGTCCTTCCCACTGCGACTTTCTTTAATTATACTGTCATTTATTTTTTATTTGTTTTATTGACTTTGTAGATGTATTTACATTTATCATATGCTATTTGAAACATAAAACAATGTGTGTAACATCTGTTAAATTATGAAGCATAATAATAAAATGAATACCTGTGAAAACTTTGAACTCAGGAACTGAACATTTTCCATAGATTTTCCCTTCCCTTCCCTGTGCCTGCAACCGAAAAACTTTTGTTCTTCATTTCCTTGACCTATTCTAATAGTTTCTCCATCTCCAAAAAAATGTTTAATATTGCTTTTTAAAATCCTTTTTTAAAGTGCTATATTATTGTGTATACTATTCTGTGACTTGCTTTTTTCATCCTCGTATCATCCTACTTCATTCCATGAACGTTTAAGTGTTGGCTCTGTGCTATATAATGTATACTTTTCCTCTGCCTGCAATATTTTATCTTTTTCTCCTTTCTCTATTCAACTCTTATTTGATATAGAGTGATATAGAGTAGTAAGTTGTTAACCTCCTAGATCAGGAACCAGTTGAGTGGATTCAGATGTAGATTTTGTCACTTACTAGGTCTGTGACATTGAACGTGCTAATTAACTTCTGAACCTTAGTTTTCAGATGAATAAGAGTATTTGCTTCAAGGAGTTCTTGTGAAATTTCAGTGAATGAATAAATGAAAGTGCCATAGTGTAAAGCCTAGAATATATAAAGAATTAATTGAAATATTTAAAGATTTGATACATATAAGATACACATTTTACATATAAAATGCATGTTTTATGTATGCATACATGTAATATTTATCATATACCAGGCATTATTTCATGGTGTGATACACCAATAAACAAAAAAGACAAATTTTCTCTTTTTCTAGGGCCTCAAATCTAATGCAGAAATTAGACATATTAGACATATTTACATATAAGAAATAAATACATTGTAATTCTAGTTCATGTATAAGGTGATAATGACTACAGGAGAAAATAGCACGGTTAGGTGGGGAGAGTAGAAGAACAAGCTAGGTCTCTTTAAGGAGAAAATATTTGAGCAAAAAAATAAAGAGATGGAGTTATTCATACATGTGTCTGGGAGAAGAACGCGTTAGACAGAGGAAACAATTGTACCAAGCCTAAGGCAGAAGCGTGCTTGGCTTGTTAAGGAATGGCAAGAGGACCAGTGTGGCTAGCCCAGGTTGGGGAGACTAACAGACGATGAGGTCATGGGAGAAGCTCATGTAAATGTCACCTAAAAAGGATCAAAATTCCATCAAATCTGTTCGGATGTCACTTCTTCAGGTGGTGCTCACGGATTTCCTAGGCAAGGACATATCTCCTCATTATGTGCCTTAAACTTTTTAAATTATGTAGTATAACAAAATTAACAAAAGGACATAAAATATAGGTGTATGCATGGAGATTTATTTCCCCTCCATGGGCCAAATATTAGAATGTTGGGAGTACCTCAGAAAGTCTTTGAACCTTTCTCCATCATTCACCTCTAACGTAACCCCCATCTTAAATTTTAACAGTGCATTTTCTTTTGCATGTGTTTGATACTAATTCACGTGAAATCCTCTAGTACATATTCTCTTCTACTTTCTTTCTTTATTAAGACATCTATGTTGTTTCAGTAGGCTATGTTGCTTTTTTTTTTTTTGCTATGTTGCTTTTTATTGTTACTGTAGTATACTGTTCTATATATCCATCCTACCATTGACAGTCATTTGGGTTCATAGTTTTCAGCTATAATAATTAATGGTTCTGTGGAGATTTTTGAGCATCTTATTAACGTCGGTGCTTATTTTTGTGATAATTTCTTGCGTCTATCACTTAACTAATCTAGTAGCATGCAGTAGAGGGTAATTACTATTTGTAAGTAATTAATTAATTAAACAAGTGAGAGAGAATTGTTCCCAGGATTTCAGTTTCAAGTATTGTTTTGTTTTTAAAGATTTTATTTATTTATTCATGAGAGACGCACAGAGAGAGAGAGAGAGGCAGAGACACAGGCAGAGAGAGAAGCAGGCTCCATGCAGGGAGCCTGACGTGGGACTCAGTCCCAGGACTCCAGTATCACACCCTGGGCCAAAGGCAGGCACTCAACTGCTAAGCCACCCAGGGATCCCCAGTTTCAAGTTTTGAAGTACTTTTCCATATAAACATTTCTCAAGTGCTCAGGATCTATAATCCTGCACTAGTTTTCTTAGTCTTGTTTTTTAATTTAAAAAAAATTTTAATCTATTTTATTTTGTGTCTTTTACATAGGATCCACATCCAATGTGGGGCTTAAACTCATGACCCTGAGATTGAGTCACGTGTTCTCCCCACTAAGCCAGCCAGGCAGCCCTCTAATTCTTTAATCTAAGAAGTTTTATTCTGTATGTGTGTGTGGATGTCTCCGTTGCCTATAAAACAATATAGACAATATTTCTTAAGAATTAACATGTCCTAATATTTATAAAACAAGTTTTCTAATATTTTAAGATTAGGTAAGGAGTTTAAATATATTTGGAGCATGACCCATTTGTGGGCAGGGTTTTGCCACTAACACTACTAGTAATAATAGTTCTTAAAACTATTTCTTCCTTAGAAAAGCTGAAAATATTTTGTTTCCTCCTCACAGGATTGTGAATACTTTTTTGATTCCTAAAATCAATAAAGTAGCAGAATAATAAACCAGAAAAAATCTCCTCCCCTCAAAATGGAAAAATACTACACCACCTTCTTCAATTATCTAACACTTAGAAAACTGAATTTGAGAATGTAAATCATAATGTAAGAATTTTGGGGGTTAGCACCGCCTTTGGCCCAGGGTGTGTGTGATCCTGGAGACCCAGGATCGAGTCCCACATTGGGCTTCCTGCATGGAGCCTGCTTCTCTCTCTGCCTCTCCCTTCCTTTCTCTGTCTCTCTCTGTGTCTCTCATGAATAAATAAAATCTTTTTTTTTTAAGTTTTTTTTTTTTTTTATTTATGATAGTCAGAGAGAGAGAGAGAGAGAGAGAGAGAGAGGCAGAGACATAGGCAGAGGGAGAAGCAGGCTCCATGCACCGGGAGCCCGAAGTGGGATTCAATCCCGGGTCTCCAGGATCGCGCCCCGGGCCAAAGGCATGCGCCAAACCGCTGCGCCACCCAGGGATCCCAATAAAATCTTTTTTTAAAAAAAGAATTTTTGATTCTCTATAAAACTACCTACTGTGAAGAAATAAATAAGGGTGAATCGACTTCCTTTATCTCCTTCAAACGAAAGAAAAGTCAAAAATCATCTGTAACCTGTAATATTACGCTGGTCTTACAAAATATATGGAAAATGTTAAGTTCAATAGCTTTTTAATAATACTCTGTTCTTTTCTTTCCAAACTTTTTCTTCATTGCAAGTTTCTGAATTCTTAGACTAAATCTTTTGTTAATAAAACTGACAATTTAATACATATTTAAATACCCCATTCCCATAAAAGTTACAATGAAAATAATTTGTTTCACTTTGGAAACTAAAATTATTAAATTCTAACTGTCTAGAGTACATGTCTATATATCCTCAACATGGGTAAATTGGTATAGTACGTTACATTTATTGCTTTTTCATAGTTACAATTATTTTTGGTATAAGCATTTAGGAATACACTTAATGAGAACCAATTATTATGGTGAATTTAGTTTCTGTCCTTGTGCTACTGTACTGCAAGAATGTAAAAGTTATATATTTGCCAGATGCCAGAAACAAAGGTCTCATATAACTATGACAGAAAGAAAAAGAATGATTTGTGTGAAAATTCACTGCCTGGTGAGTTCATTTCCTATTTTCCCTTTCCCCCATCCAGAGCCGAATTCGTAGAATGTGGAATGACACGGTCCGAAAGCAGTCAGAGTCTTCCTTCATTACTGGAGATATAAACAGTTCAGCGTCACTCAACAGAGGTAATTAGAAATGATTTTTCATATTTATTACTTTTGTGATTACTTTAAGGAGTTCTTAAATGCATTGCTTTTTTTTTTTTTTTTTGCAACTTTGGGACCTTGTTCCATGTGATAGGAATATTGCAAGGATATAAAACCTGCTTGAGTGTAGCAGTGTGTTCCATTATTCATAAACCTCTTTTTTTTTTTCAATCCTGAGTTTTCAGGAAATCTTTTCTGAAAAGAAGTTAGAAAATGAGAACTTTCTTTTTCTAGTCATCTGCCACTGTAATAAATTGGTGAACTGTCAGGCCTCATTGGAAGCAGTGAAAATGGGCAATTATGTGGCTATATAGTCTGCTAAGCATCATAGAGTTGCACATTGTCCCAGGCGTAGAGCAATTTCATAGTCTTTGTGGAAGTAAAAATATACTGTCTAATACATACCTGAGGCACCCTGTATATTTGGGGTAAAAATCACATCTAATCTTAGTATCTACAAACTTATCCAGCATATTTAAAGATCTAGGAGGAGAAAAATTATATATATATGATATCTGTGTGTGTATGTGCTTCTGGTAGTCATGGTCCTAGGGCATCATTTCGATTTTTGAAATGAAGTTCCCTTAATCTACTGTTTTATTTGTGGTTGCTCTTTTTAATTCTCTTTCTCCTTCCCTCCCACTTCTTCTCTACCCCTTTTTTAGTGTATCCTTTAGGAGGGGGGAAGATTAGAATTAAATTGATTGCAGTACAAATGAGTAGATGCTATATTTGTGTAGACTTAGAGTACACTACAGACATTGCTGGGGGATACTTAGAATATAGTTTTATCTGGAAAGGTGACGTTTGCATGAGCTTATTCCAATCACACTGTCCTAAGAAAGATATTTTTAATGCATATATTCAGTAATTATTTTTATGATCAGCAATGTTTTTTTTTCCTATCCCCAAACTAGTATTACTTTAGTTTAAACCTGTTCCTGTCAGCTTTTTGTTCCACTAAATGCTACTCAGAAAATTTAACAATCGCAACATATGATTCAGAAAAATTGAGATGCTGGTGCTCTTAATTACTTTTACTCAAGGAATTTGCATCTTATTTACATAAAATAAATTAGGACAAAGAGTGTCCAGGCTGACTTTGATATAGGGATCCTTGTTACATATAATCTTAATTGACTTTCATATGTTATTTGGGGCAGTGGTATAACAACCATAACCTAGTGATGATATTAATTTTTTTAAAGATTTTATTTATTTATTCATAGACACAGAGAAAGAGAGGCAGAGACACAGGCAGAGGGAGAAGCAGGCTCTATGCAGGGAGCCCGATGTGGGACTCGATCCCGGGTCTCCAGGATCACACCCCAGGCCGCAGGCGTAGCCAAACCGCTGCACCACCAGGGCTGCCCGACATTAAATTTTTTATATCAGTTTTGCCTAGGTAGGAACGGTGATTGCAAATATTCCCCCAAATCTGAAGAAAATACATTAAAAAAACCTATCATCTTTTATTTTGCTTCATTATTAGTCTGTCTTTATTTGCTAGATTTTGATTTACATAATATCAGCCAAATATCCTTCTTTTTTTCAAGTTTAGTTTTAATGGTTAGTCTGTGAAAATTTATTTAAAATATAAACATTTTAACTTTTGACATCCTTTCCAAATCATAGAGAAGAAATTACTTACAAATGCCTCCAAAGTTTAGGAACTTATTTGCTTTCATAGTGATAGATTTTGTTTACTGTCCAATCCCACAGACGGAAAATTTACAATACATTCTTAGATAGAAAACCACCCCTATGAACAGGAATTATTATTAGAAGTATCTTGCATCAACTGATCACAACAAATAGAGAACAATTGTTTAAATGAAAAGATGAGATCATGTGATTTATTTGCTGACTGTGGAGATGGTTAAAATAAAATTAGTATTTTTTAAAATATGGAAAATTATTACATTGTCTAGCATTATGATCTAAACTTATATAGTTGTGAGGTGTGTGATTTTACTAAAAGTTGCTTTAAATGAACACATTTTTGTGACCTTGATTTTAAGGTCAATCACATATAACGTTGCTGTGCCCTCCTTCTCAAGAGTTTCATCAACTTGGAATATGTGATATATGGATGACCCAGTCAAGTTGAAATATATTTAAAGAAAATAATATTTTATATTGACTGATCATATGTTTAAATCTGGTTTTAAAGTCTTTATTTTTAAAAGTATTTCTTAAAGTTACTCTTGAAGAAGGGTATAACTTTCTTGTGACATCCAGTAAGTTACTCTAGCGTTGACTTTGCGGGGGAGGGGGGAGTTAAATTGAATTTATGATCTGAGGTGTGTCCAGGCAGTGATCTTTTCCTTCAGGATATGTATTCTTCCTTTCAGTCGGTGACTTTACTGGTGGCAGACATCATAATGATCTTCTTGATTTCCCATATTAATTCCCCTATTCCCCCAAGGCAGAAACTCCTCATCTCATTATTTTTTATCTCAGATATGTGGAGTACTTTACATTTTTATTTCTTCATAGTATATCTCTGAAGATAGTCTTTAACCTTCTTCTTTAATCTTGTCTTATTTCCCAGGGTCCTATCTTCCCTGCATTCAGGCGTGTGTATCATATTTAGGTAGGTGAAATCCAAGATTCACCTTTCCAGATAAACACTTCAGTCACCTCAGCAACATACGTATTCACCTTTGTTTACTCAAAAGAATGTACTCTTTATTATTAAAATAAAAATTCTAGCCACTACATCTTCACATCTTCATATATTCTAACTTGCCATTCATTCTCAGTATCTCACAGCCAGCAATTTTTTGTTTATTTAACCCCCACTTTCCTTTCTTTCTAAGATAGATCTATTACATCTCTTATTTTTGTCTTTAGTTCTGGCCCTTAAAAACTAAGAAGTTATCTAAAAATTAGCCCTATATCTACTGTATGTTTTCTTTCGTATTCATACCACTGCCCAATTCATCAAAAGAGTAATTATTTTACAATACTGTATGTCTTACCATTTATTCCTTCAAACAAAAATTCATCATAATCATCTTTGGGATCCATTTAGAATAAAGTATCTACCATACAGTACAGAACTCTTTCTCAATGGTTTTTATTTTTTCAAACCATCTTTAATATTCTGTTCTTAAATGAACTTGTTACAGCCTATGTAACAGATTTCCTTTCTAGCTTTCCCAGTGTGATAAACTGGATTACTATTGGGATTTTATTCCTTGGAATCATGCAAAACCTTGGAAGATTTACTGATAATTTTCAATTCGTGTAATCATTCTTATATATTCTCTTTAGGATTTTGTTATTTGGTCACCTCATCTCTTTAAAAACGCCCCATTACATTTGTCCTTTGAAATATATTCATGAAGATGTTTTCCTAATGTTACCTGTACATAAGATACTTTTTCCCCTTCTGACTTGTTTGCTACAATGCTACTCACTCACGTAAATTAAGAATTCCTTCAGGCCAGTACCCCCAGACTATGATCAAGTTAAATTCCTGGATGCCATTTTCATACACAGAAGGAGTTTTTCAAGGGCACAAATGTGATAGCTGATTATAGAAAGTTTTAAGGAGGATTAACTCTGATCCAAACTCAAGTTTTTACAAATCCCACAGGAGGGTTTATTTATTTGTTCGTTTAAATATTTACTATTTGCACATAAATTGAAGTCAGTCCTCAATCCCACCCCCCAGCTTCTCCCAGGTGTAATAGAAACCTCACCCAAATTTCTAGTAGCTCTAACTTCCCTAGTGGTACAAACAATTTGTAGCGAAGGTCATCTTTCCCACTCTTATCTCCAACCCACAATCTCTGCTAAACCTCATCTTGAACAACTTAGATTAACGATGCCTCTAAAATTGAGCCTGACCCCAAACCAAAGCATTTGCTGATAAATTTATCTGGTAGTTCAGTTAATGGTTAAGTATTTCTATTCTTTTTATAGATCTATATAGAAATTGGAATATTTTCTGACATTGGATTTTGTTAGACTTTATCTCATCATGAATAATAACATTGCACTTCTCATTTTCTTTTTTATTTAATTAGCTGAATTGACCCCAGAAATTTCAGTTTAAAATCAAGTTTTGCTAGATAGCTGCTACCAATTCAATGAATGGATTATGAAAAGTGTTCCACCAACCCCCTCCCCAACTATAAGGTTATTACAAAAACGTGACCCATCTTAGTGGCAAAATTAGCAAAAAGGCTTTTCTTCTTCTGAAATAATACCTTGACTAGCATAGTGGATTTTGATTTCCTCCTATCTCCCATCCTTCATCTTGTCAGAAGTTAATGTGATTTCGAGTTTTATAGATGGAGATCTGACCTGTAAAGCTATATTTATTTAAGCCAAATCTAAGAGTGGTGTGTCTCTTCTGTAGGTATGTCGCACATGTTTATTAAAGTTGATGGATTCTCCTTTCAAGTTTCAGATTTGTGTTAGTCTACACATGCATTCTCCGTAAGTGTATATAATCCATATAATTATGCCAGCCCATAGCAATCTCTTCATAAATTTTAAGGGTAAATCTTGACTCCCAGTAGCACACCTGCCTACTGAAAGGTGGCTTTACTTGTGAGGAACACTGTTGATACAAAGGGGAAAATCATCATTGAGTAGACTTTGCAAATTGTTGATTTACTCATAGTAGTTTTGAGAATGGGGATTTAACCCAGTAACTTTTGGTAAGTTACTTATATTCTCTGTGACTGTGCAGTAGGGATATAGATAGCACCCACTTCACAGGGACCTTGGTGGACTAAGTGAATTTATGAATGTTAATTCTCTACTACAGTGCCTACAAAATAAGTACTCTTATCCTTTTACTCAGAAGTTCACTTACATCTTCCAACAAATGAAAACTGATCCTTGCCAGTGCTTTCAGATAATTAGATATTAAAATTCATCATTCACTACCGAAGGTTTTCTTTTCTTTTTATTTTCTAGTAATAGGTGGGAGGAATAAAGTGGTTACCTGAATGCCAAGTAAAAGAAATAATAATTTACCTAAAATAATGCCACCCTTGAGGCTAACGAAAAGGAGATAAACTAATAAAACTGAATTGTCTCTTCTGAATTAGAAATTAAATGCACATTATATCTGCCTAGTTGTACTTTCCACTTTTGATTTGTAACCATATTTTAGCATGGAGGAAATAAAGGTATAATATTTCTTCTTCCTACCTTAGATAGTGATATAAGCAAACACTGCCTTCCCTTTACTCCAAGCCCTACCCTGCCCTTCAGAAGCTCAGAGAACACTAGTGCAATTCAGACAGCCCTGCTAAATCACCAGTTATGTAGCGGAGCAGGGATGTGACTCATTCCCCATTTTAAACCCATGTCTTCTCAGAGGCAGTATTGTCTTTCCCAGGAGATTGGTCACCAAGGCAGAAGAAACTTCACAATAAATCACCTGTCACTTCATTAATATTCAGGCTCTTCAACGTATTTTGCTTTTGTGTTTAAAGAAAAATGCAAATGAAAAAGTGTAAGTGGTGTTTCATTGCAATTGATGATTTCTATAAATTAAAACTTAAAAGGGTGAAACCCTCAAACATATTCACTGTATCTTATTAATCTCAGTAAATATAAATTGGCTTTATGCATAAAATGTCATATTCCTCAAAAGCCTCGCCATTTTGAAGGATTTTAAAATTGTTTGTAAACATTAACCAGATCCTATAATCTGACATCTGTTTGTGAAATTTGCAAAAACAGTTAAATGATGTGCCTAAGAGTGGTTGCATGGCTAATAAATCGAAGTGGACTTGTATAACAAATTACTTTTTATTATGAACAAGCATTATAATAATATGAGTGTATTTTAAGTATCACACGGCATGGAAAAAAATTTCATTTAAGATTTACCATTACATTTATATGTAGTATTTTTGACCTTTATATTCTTGACTTGTAAATGAGGCAGCAGTACTCTCTATGTTAATTCCTTTCCTTTTATACAAGTCATCAATAAAGACATAATCAGAAAATATACAATAAGATGAGGAAATCTTTTGTGTTAGGAAAATCAGTTTAATAACACAAAAGCAAAATAGGTACAGATTTTAAAAGTGAAATGCTATGCCAAATAGATAATTAAACAGTGCTATTAATGTCTTGATTCCTAACTCAAGGAGTCCAAATAATTTTCAGAATGAATTCTCCATCACAAAATGAAATATATTAGATATTGATTTCTAGGCAATCAGGGGCAAATGTTCTTGCTATAAATTGCTGGCAAGAATTGAAAAATAAAACTTTTAAAATGCTTGCCCAGTGAGTCCTTCTTATGCTTTGCTTTTAACTTTGTCTCTTTGATATGAATCCTTTAAATCATCCAACCTCCCATAGCCAACTGCACAATAGTAAAAATGGTTTGTGCTTTACTCTTATTACTATTATTATATAATAATATTATATTATTATAGCTTTTATAGATCCCTTCACAAAGAGGAGTCTCTATGTAGATTCCTCATTATTATAGTTTATTATCTTACTGCCTTATATACAGTTAGCAGTATCTCCTATCTCCTTATTATAAATCAAACAAGCTGCGGTGAGATATCCGGATAATTTCTAAATATAGCACTATAAAACATTCCCCTTTATTTTTGAAATATCATGTTGTTTCATATAAATTCTTGAGGATGTAATTTTTCAAAAAATATCTATTTTTAAGAACTGAATATGCATATTCAACTTCTCTTCAGAAATTGCTGATATTCTTTCTCTAATAGAATACGAAGTGGCTCTTTATAGTTTATGATCACCTTGGGCTTTCTCCTTTAGTGGGTAGAGTTACGATTTTACCTATTGTACATTATTCATTATTCATCCATTATTTTTATATCCATGAAGAAGCTGGGTTTTTCGGTTAGTTTTCCAAGTGAAATGGCTAATAAAGGACAAACTCTAGATTCTAAACAAGATCTTTCTGGCTGCAAAGCCCTACTTATGAGAACAAAAATTTTCACTCTTTTCTCATGATGACAGTTTTTCATGAAGCCTGTGAAGATTAGCATAAAGATATTTTTCTCACTTCACATGGAAATAAGATATTCTTAACACCACAAGTATTAACGTCTCTATTTCTTAATTTCCTTGATGTACTATTCATTTCCTTCTACTTTAATTTGTGCTAGGTATACTTCTTTAGTGTGGATTCATCCTATTCATTTAGGGAATAAAAGCTTTAAAACACTGTGAATATATGGAGAGATGGATTGGCAATGCTTTTCAAAACTATTTTATGTGGAATATGCTGATTTGCTATAAGTGTCCAATTTTAGGATTTAGGTTGCAAGACTTTTATAATCATGTTTCTTTTCTTTCCTGGAAGGCCTCAAGGTACTTTAATGGTAGAATTCTTTATCTTTAATTTCTTATGTTTCAGTAAAAGGATGAGTATTTTGGTCAGAGCAAAGATTGTGTTACAAAACCAGCTATAATAATTCAGTATAGCACCAAACAAAGATATTACTCTTCCCAGATATTTGTACTTTTGAATTTGATATTGTCCTCTATCAGGACACGGTAATAATGCCTAGAACAAGTAGAAAATCTGTTTGAGTTAACTTCAAATACTAAACTCACTATTTTTAT